AGAGATATAAAAAATTCCAACTAGAGCATTTTATGCTCAGTATGATTTTCTCTTTTGCTGCTCAATGAATATATATGTTATTGCTGGACATCAGGAAAAATGGCAATTAAAGAATACAGTTATTATATTTGATTTTTATATATATCTTTCTGTGAAAATTGTCTTTTTTTTATTTGCATTTTGTTCATCCTCAGTGCACAACAAGGATTATCTGAGGCGATTAAGGGCTTTCTACAGGGAAGGCCTGGGTGAGACCATTTGCAGGACCAGGAGCTCTGCATCTTTGCATAGATTCCAGCACCATATTGAATTTAGCACCATTGGAGCACTAAACCATACTGATTTGAGAACATCAAAGAATGGCTTTCATCAGCTCTGCCTCAAGATAGGTCCAGACCATTGGCAAAGGAGCCTCTGGTTGGAGCATATGAAATATATCCATATGTACATTTAACATCACTTTGTTTATGGGAAATGTATAAATTCTTTGGAACTCATGCTGTTGTCTGACTCAAAGGCTAACTGCCAGAGGAAGCAAGCCTTCACTTGACAATCTGGAATATTGCACAGTTATCTATTTTGAGCAACAGAAGGTAGCTTTGCAAAGAAAGCAAGCCCTGCCCCACTCTTCCCTCTAATTAAAACTATTTCGAAGTCATATTAAATTATTTCTAATTTGGACTTCGATTACATTTCCTCCACCGTGGTTGAGAAGTCGGGGTCGAAAATAGCTGAATTGAAATGCTGACCCTGCGTTTCCTTTTCTCTGGTAAGAGTGCACATTCTCCCATCATCAGTCTCAAGTTCTTGGAGTCATCCTTCACCCTCTGTTTCTCAACTCCTGTACCAATGCATTTTCTAATACTCATGCCGGGTATACAAAGCTTGCAGCAGCTCAAGTGGAGGAACCTAAAATTACTTCCAACTTAATTTTCTTAGCAGTGTTGCATTGTTCTTATTTCCCTAGGTTCAGACCCCAACTCTAATGCTTACTAACTCCGTGACCATGAGCAAATTACTTTACCTCTCCAGTTCTGAGTTTTCTCATCTGAAAAATGGGGATAACCAGGGGACCTGGCTCATGAGATTTTTATGATTATTTAGAATGAAGAGACTAGCACAAAGTTAGTACCCAATAAACATTACCTATAAACAGCTATGACAAAAATCTTAGACATTTTAGAGTTAGATGATCCCCGAGGATTTACCCAAGAAAACCAAAAATTATATGTATGAGGTAGATAAAGTACAAAGCAGTGGATTAATTTCTCCAAGATTTTACAGAGTGTAATGCTAGAATCAATGCCTTATGACTTATTTACACATAGACCAGATACACACATGTGTATAGTCAAACAGGCATATCATTTTGATGGCCTACACTGGTATTCAGGGCAATGACAGACATTATAATTTGGGATGAATGAGCCTCTGGGATGAATGAAGTTGAGATATGTGGATGGAGTTCAAGGAAAGGATCTGTTTATCTCTAGGTTGGAGGATTTACAACAATATAAAGGACAAAATGGCAGGAGGAAGCCCTAGTGAAAGCCATATGCACATCAGTCAATCAGAGTATTAATTAAGAACTCGTTGCATGCAGGCATTTGGATTCCTATAAAATGACAGAAGCGATGATATCTAAGCAGCCCAAGGTGCGCTGTTTGTGAGCACACAGAAAGTGAGAGAAAATACATAAAATGCTGATAGCGCTATCAATCAAGAGAGATCGTAAAATAGGGCAGCCAGTGACAAGTGTCAAAGCAACCACGTAAATAACAATTCTCACATAGAAGAGTAAAGTCTTATGGGCTGAAAGAGTTAAGGACATTTCATTGTGAAAGTTGGGATTTTCAAAACAAATAGAATCCAGACAAGAAAGGGAACACCTTTAATTGAAAGAAAAATTACTACATGATATCTTTTTGGCAGAGATGTGAATGGGTTGCTTGGTAAATATATATTTTTGTAAATATATAAGATAGGAAAGAAAATGTGTACAGGGCATTGAACACCAATTAAAGAGTGTCTCTGAAAGGGTGGCTATTGTTTGGAAGGAGCCCTGTGTGCTATTTTGGAGAAATTTACCTGATCTCATTATTCAGGGTAAACAATGGAACAGAAACTTGACGTTGGGAGTACCTGTTTTGTGTTCCTTTATTCGAACTATTACAGGCTGTGTGCACCCAGCAAGAGTATTAGAGAATGTTTTGGTACAAGAAGTAAGAAAAAGGGAGTGAGGGGTGACTCCAAGAACTTGAGACTAAAGATGAAGGGAGAATAGTGCACTCTGAGCAGAGAAAAGGAAGTTCTAAGCGGAATTTAATTCTGTGGGTTATATTTGTAGTTCAAAAGCTAAGAAGGACTTCTGGCTATCGATGATTGTTACATAAATGATTAGAGTGTTGGAATTAGATGAGGATTCCAGAATGGAAAGCTAAGAAAGGCAGCTTTTCAAGGAAGCTTGAAAAATAGGGATTGTTTATAGCATCTGAGGAAAAAATATGAAGAGAAATGAGGAAAGAACATCTGACCATGAAACTATGCTCAGAGTCAACCTTTGAGAAATATACCTTGAGAAGGACAGACATGGAGATACAGAATAGGTGGTCAGAGAGGAACGTGAATGTAGATGTCCAATTGCATAGAAAAACAGGAGAAAAATTAAGGAGTGCTTGGTAAGCTGGGAGGACATAAAAAATGAATCCAAACCCCAGTGCTATTGACTAAACACTTTTAGGTTCCTATAAAATGACAAGGAGTTTGACTAGCAGATTCTAACTAGTTAACCATATAAAGTGCATTATCACACTACCGTTTACAGTCTATCTCATTCTCTTCTTTGGAAGACTTTAAATAAACCCATTGGGCTCTGCTTGTAGACTTCATGACCTCAGTCTCAGATTGTTTTCAAAAATCATTCAACACATTTCAAGAGGCTAAATACACACCATAACTGATGAGGGGAATATACTAAAAGTCATCCCTCCTGAGTGTCCTGGGGAGGGTTTAATATACACAGCTCTGAGCGGTACTCAGCTACACTGGAGAGAGAGTGCAAAGTCTCCTCCCTCTGCCTGGACCCTTGATCACAATCGATGACTTTCTAACTCTCGTCTGCCAAGCTAAGAGCAACCCATCCTATGGAGTGTCAGTATCTGCGCTGAGATTCAGATCGGCATGAGTGGAATGCCTTCCCCTGAGCCTCAGCATGCTTTCTCAAAGCAGAGGAGCCGGGACATAGATAGGATGGGTACAATTTCAGACCTTAGTCCTTGCTATAATCGGGGCAAGTGTTTTGTTTTGTTTTGTTTTTTTAAATGAAGGTTTCATATCCAACAGACATGCTTATCAGCACTTTGAGGCACACTGTTGCCACTGTAGAAAAAATAGTTAGAGGAAGGGACAGAAAACTGTTTAAATTAGGAATTGTCACTTCAGAGCCTGGACTGGGGAGATGGCTAGGGCCGTGAGAAAACTAGAGCAAGCTCATAAATATATGTAAACAATCATTCTGTGATGGAAATCTACTTTCCAATGAAAATCAACAAATAGGTGGATCTAGGTTAACCTTAATGTCCCCCTCCTCAACACCGAAACCTTCAACCTTGGGAGAACGCACAGTGGAATTTTCTACCCATAAGACTTTAGGGCTTTTCTGGAGCCTTTGCATAACAGTGTTCCCCCTAGCTGAATGAGGAAATTCTATGTTTAAAAAAAAAAAAAAAAAAGTCCTATCAGTTAGGGGCAAATGCTCAAGAATTTGCAAGGTAAATGACTTCCTGGAAATTTTTTAAATTCCTGAAATATTTTTCTAAAGAGATAATGAATAGGTGAAACAAGATTAAAATGATGAAAATTCCAAAGTGTGTTGATGAGTACCTGGAGTTTTACTACATATTTTCTTTACTTTTGTATGTGTGCAAAATAAATTTTGAAATATTTGCTATTTTGATAGGGAAATAGGTAGTTTATGTAGTCTTATATGCATTTCTTTGAATAGTGAGAATGAACATGTTTATTACTTAGCGGTCATTTGTATTGTCTTTAATTTTCTATGCATATTCTTCGCCCTTATTTTAAAATCTGAGGGTAGAACTTTATTTTGATTTGTAGGATGTTTTAAGAAAAATAAAGCCTTTATTTAGTGTATTTAAATGTTCTATATTGTTCTTTTGAATTTGCATTTTTTACAATATTTTTAACATATATTTATTTTTAATGTTTGGATTTTCTTGATGGTTTGTGCCTTTAATGTCACTTTTTGATCATTTGTCTTTAAAAATGTACTGCTTTTAATTGGCAGCAAAATAAAATATTGCGTTGGTCAAAAAAAAAAAAAAAAAAAAATCCTGCCCTGTGACCTCCTTTGCACTTCAGTGCTTCCCAGATATTATTTTATCCAGCTACACTCTCTTGGTATATTAGCCATAATGTGGTTCTCACGTATTTTCTACAGCTGTCAAGGATTTCCTCCACCCCACACTTCTCATTCCAGATACTCTCCTCACCTCCTCCTTCATCAGGAGGAGACACTATTCATGCAGAATTTCTCTGGCACCCCTCTCTTCTACCTCACTCTTCCTCTGTCATCACCTGGCTCTCTATTCCCACATATTCCTCTTCCTCAACCTGAAACCATCTGTCCATATTCTGTTGACCCTGCCATAGGTTCTGAGGTCAATGATTTCTTGACTTGGCAGGTAAGAAATGACTTTCAACTTACCACAGGTAAAACGGTGTCACATCCCTTCTCAGAAACCTACAGTGCTACCCATTGCCTACAAATATTGTCCAATTTCTGTGAAATGTTATGTAGAGTCCTTTAATATCTGGCCTGCTTTACTTTCCAGCACATCCTCCAGATTCCCTCCTCTGGCCATACTCTTACAGGCCACTCCCCTGGACAGAGAGCAAGCTCTTTATATTTCACTGTGCTACCTCATTTGTCTTCTCAGCCAGGCAGGCCCTTCTCAAACTTCTTCATCTTTCAAAATCCTTCTTATCTTGGAAGGCCTAGACCCTTTGGCATCTCCACCATCATGTTTCCTCTATCTCTGCTTTCTCCAAAAACCTGCTCAATTTACCTGTGCTCCTACTTACCCCTTAACTCATTCTGTTGTGTATTCTGATAAGAGTCATTCCCACTTCTTCTCAAAAGTAGAAAATTTTCTTTATTCTTCATTGTATTTCCTTGTGCCTTCCTTATTCAGAGGCCAACCATAAATATTGCGTAACTTTATTTAATTGATACTATAATTGATACTATAAGTATCAATTAATAGTATAAGACACGTTATACTATTGATTTGGCTCTGAGTGTGTATCTTCACTAAACAGTGTTTCTGTTTTGATTTGAAGAGTAAAACTTCTAATTACAATTTACTTTTGAAAAATAGATTACAATTTTTTCCCCCTTCTTCAGATTCCTGGACTCTGTGAACCAGATTCTTCAGAAGTGGACATTTGTCTTGCTTATCAATCAGTCATTTGTCCCCTCCACACACATACAATTTGACATCCCTCCTTCACGTAGTCCCAAACCCTTTGCTGTGCCCTGCTACCTGGACACACATTATATTGCCAGCTATCTGCTGCTTTAGTTGCCTGAAAGTCCAAGTTGTGCCTGATCTTAGATTCCCATGCTCCCTTCCATCTGTTTAGATTCCAGATTGCTCTAACACTAACTGCTGGATTGGAACCTTTTCCACACCTGCAACCACAGTCTCTAATACAATATTCACCCAGCCAACTGAAGACATTGCTGTTGCTTATATCAGAGACCCACTCTCCAGCACACGAGCCCCAATCCATAAGTATATCAGTTTTTAGGTGCTGGCCTTGGTCTACCCAGTCTCAATAAAGCTAAACTTTCCATACAAGGTATTTATATACATAACAGGAAGATCAATTGGGAGGCCCTGTTATGAGTTGATAGTATTTTGTATACTTTCCTGAACAACTAACTCTGTATTGTAATTGGAAAAGTATGATATTTAAAATTTAGGAATCATATATATGTTTCATCAATTACACCATTCTTGCTAATTCTAATTTCAGATGAATAGCAATCACTTCAGAATTTGAAGTTCTCTAGGTAACTCATTCCATTGGGTAGTTGCTATTTTTAATCTATTTATTTTTCTAAATAAGTCACTTGGGATGATACTGATCCTTCTCTCTCACAATCATTCTAAGTCAGGGATGATTTTGCTTTCCAGGGAATATTTGGCAATGTCTGGAGACATATTTAGTTGTCGCACTGGAAAAGTGCTACTGGCATCTAGGGTAGGCACCGGCGATGCTGCTAAACATTCTGCGATGCACAGGACAGCCCCCACAGCAGAGAATTATATATAGCCCAAAGTGTCAGCAGTGCTGAGGTTGAAAAACCCTGCTTCTGTAATGAGGAATAATTAATAAAAATTCTTTGATGCCTCATAAGTACTTCTATATTATTTGGGGGAGGGGAGATGTAAATCTTCTCAAACCCATCATTCATTCTATATAGTTGATTATGAATTGGTCTATTATGGCTGAGCAGCTATCCTGATCATTTTGTCATGGAATTCTACTCAATCTCTTTCCTTTTTTTGTATATAAAATAAACTAGTCAATAAAATTCATCTGACACACACTTAATTGTGTCTTATCTGTCTTCTAATCCCTTCTTTGCTACCCTACAAATTAAATACAAACTCTGTCTTTTATAGAAACTCAAGGAACCTTTTTACTCTTTTCTTATCCATATATACTTCTTTTCCCCCATCGATGCTTCATCAATTTTAAGTTTCTAGAAAAATTCCCCTTCTCTCCTTCAATACTTCTTTACTGATTTTTGCTTACTTTTGTGCTATTATTATATATTTCTTCATTATCGATTTATCTCTTTTGCTCATATACTGCCTCTTTTATTAAACGAAACTCCCCCAATGCTTTGTATTCCCATATTTTCTTGGAAAATTTTTATTATTCAATTTGTGTTTATCTACGATCATGTCAATCCAAAAAGTGTAACAATTTTAGTTTATCACGGTAAATACACAACTTATTTTGTTCAAGGGAAAGACACACATCTTAACTACTTTGTGTTAACTTCAATAGGTTTACCTGAAGAAGATGGATATTCCAGGTTGTCTGTGAGTGGGACAGCGACCTCAACATTTCAGAGACATAGA